TTGGAAAATAACTTGATTAGTTATTCCCCAATCTATGTCTTCAAAAAACCACATGTCATGGTTTGCCATGATAGTTAATGAATAGAAATTTTTTTAAAATGACACTTTACTTGGTTAGAGTTTTCTAAAAATATTTTTCAAAAAAATTTACTTTCTTGTTTTTCGTGTTTTTTTTTGTTTTTATTGAATTTTTTAATATTTTAAGTAATTTTTTTTTAATTTTTAGACATGCCTAACATAAATATGTTAAAAAGTAAAAAAATAGTAAAAAAAAATCTTTTAAAAATTCACTAAATACCAAAAATATAAAAAGAGATACGAGAATTTAGTATATTTTTTTATATTTTTATGTATTTATTAAATTTTTTCACAAATATACATCTAAGTAAAGTGCATCTAAAAAAGTAAAAAAAAATGTTTAAAATGCTAAAAATATTCACTAAAAACAAAACAAGAAAACTCAATTTTCAAAAAATTTAATCTAAAGAACTCAAACCAAATACACTTTTCAAAAAAAAAAAACTAGAAAAGATAAATAGAAAATAGTGATCTATTTTTACTTATTTTAGCTTTTTTATTTTTTTTAGAATTTTTATTTTAAAAAACTGACTTTTTAAATTCATTTACACAAATAGATTGAAAAAGTAAAAATTTGACATAATTTTAAAAAAGAAAAACATATGTTGTGCACCCTTCTAAGGGTGTATACCATATGCACCGTATCATAAATTAGAGTAATTTTATCACAAAATTTCATAATATCAACTATAAAATGTATACCACTGTTACAAATTAACGTAACAAAAAATATCGTAATTAAATCATAACCTTTTGTCTTTGTCGCCAATAAATTCTTGCCTAATCACCACCAAAAATTGAGAATTTTTGCAGATATTTGCATATTCCAAATTTTTTTTCCAAAAACTCCTAGGAAAATAATAGGAGGACGAGGGTTTTACCGAGAGATGGTTCTCCGATAGCTTGTTGGCCACACAGTACCCAGACTTCACAAAGTATATCCCTGACTTGATAGGGTTGTAGCCACCTTCTTTTCAGCATCAGCTTTGCAAGCTGAAACGTGTGCGGTATGTTTGACATGCCGTTTTTACTATTTTTATTATGGAATTATGGTGGAGTTATGAAATTAAGGTAGAGAAATTAGAGACAAAGAAGGAAGCTCAAAGATGGAGAGAATATGGAGAGAATTTACATACTTTATTATGTTGGCATAAAGGCCAATATATAGATTTACAAGGGGTGAATACAAACAAAATATAACTTAATGTCTATCTAACTCCATATCTAACTTTGCAAGACTTTTTGTCCAAAAGTTGCAAAATTTTTAACTCTTTAGGCAAGCCTAGTTATAGGCTTTTTGAAAAGTCTACCTAAAAGTAAATATAGAGAGACAAAAATAAATACAAAAGAAGGACTACAATTATTTACTCTTTGCTACAGCTTTTACAATTATATACACTGATACA